CCTACTCTACAACAGACAGGAAACCACCCAAGGGACTGATTGAATGATATATGTACATAACCATAGTGGAGTATAATCAAGTATATACCTCTACTGCTATGCAGTAATTACCAGGATATATTGTATAGTGAAAAAAATCAAAAGGTAAAACCGTATATGTTACCTTTTTATTGAATATAGATGTATGGATAAAGAAGATGTGGTATACACACACACACACACACACACACACACACACACACACAATGGAATATTACTCAGCCATAAAAAAGGAACAACATTGGGTCATTTGTAGAGATGTAGATGGACCTAGAGTCTGTCATACAGAGTGAAGTAAGTCAGAAAAAGAAAAACAAATACTGTATATTGACGCATATTTGTGGAATCTAGAAAAATGGTACAGATGAACCTATTTACAGGGCAGGAGTAGAGACGCAGACATACAGAGCAGACGTGGACACAGGCTGTGGGGTGTGGGATAAATTGGGAGATTGGGATTGACGTATGTATGTGCCCTGCCATGTGTAAAACAGATAGCTAGTGGGAACCTGCTGTATAGCACAGGGAGCTCAGCTCAGTGCTCTGTGGTGACCTAGATAGTTGGGATGGGTGGTGGAGGGTGAGAGGGAGGTCCAAGAGGGAGGAGATATATGTATACATATAGATGATTCACTTCGCTATACAGCAAAAAGTAACACAACATTGTAAAGCAACTATACCCCAATTAAAAAAAAAAAAAGAAGACGAAGGGAATAGGAATTCACATACACATATTATGTATTTGCTTATACCAAAAAAAAATGAGGAAAAAATAAAAACGAATAAAAATGAATACTATACGGGAATAAAAGTAACAGGAGTTGGACACAGAAATGAAAGTTTGACTTCTCTGAATATATCTTTCTTTGTGAATTTAATTTTGGAATTCTATAGTTTTATATCATCATAAAACAAAGTTAAATTAATATGAGGCGTAAGCAAACTCTAGAAGCAAAAGCAGAATGAAACAAATGAACTTAACTATGTATTGCTGATGAAGTAAACTTAGCAGGATTATTCCAAAATAATTCTGCAAAAGCAAAGTAATTTATCTGTATTTCTCTAGTGGGGTATTCCCTAAATCATTTTTAGTAATGGTAGTATTAGTAATAATACTGGTGTTTTTATTCTGAAACTATTCTACATATTTTATATATGTATCTATATGTGTGGATATATTAGGATAAAGCAAATAATTATGTTACTATCACTATAAACAAGGATATCAGCTTACGAGAAAAGAGATATAAATATAAAATCAAATGGTTTCAGGGTATTTTTTCATTTGTGTGTCCTTGTATATTTGATTTTGGGAAGTCATTTTTAATCAGGTTACCAGCCGCTTATGGTTTTTGTTCTGTCCATTTGCATAGCAATATTTTCATAATATTATAAAGTGAAAAAAGTAGTCTACAGAGCAATCTAAAAAACAATATGGGAAAAGGAAAGTCAGTACAGATATATACCAAAGGTTAATTGTCTCTGTGTTGTAGGATTATGAGTATTTTTTACTTGTGTGTGTGTGTGTGTGTGTGTGTGTGTGTGTACGCACACCTATCTGTATTTTTTCCAAAATTAACACTTTATAAGCACCAAAAATGAGGCATTTTTTAAAATTTTATTTATTTTATTTATTTATTTTTGGCTGTGTTGGGTCTTTGTAGCTGCGCGTGGGCTCTCCCTAGTTGTGGCGAGTGGGGGCTACTCTTCCTTGTGGTGAGCGGGCTTCTCATTATGGTGGCTTCTCTTGTTGCGGAGCACGGACTTTAGGCATGCAGGCTTCAGTAGTTGTGGCACATGGGCTCAGGAGTTGTGGCTTGCGGGCTCTAGAGCGCAGGCTCAGTAGCTGTGGTGCACGGGCTTAGTTGCTCCATGGCATGTGGGATCATTCCCGGACCAGGGCTTGAACCCGTGTCCTCTGCATTGGCAGGCAGATTCTTAACCACTGTGCCACCAGGGAAGCCCAATAAGCGGGTGGGGGGGGGGCGTTAAGTAAAAATTAATACAATGAACTTTCTCATCAGCTGAAAGATGGGGGAAGAGAGAAGACAAGGAAAAAAATGTGTTGAGACCATTTGGCTAGATCTTAGGAGATTTTGCTAGCATATGACATGCAGTACATATTGGGAGGCAGATAAAATCATGTCCATGCCTGACTGAGAAACTGCAAAACTTTCATAAGCTCAGTCCTGACACAGGAGAGGTTCTTGCCCCAGGCTTATCCAGGGACCTTGTGGACTCTGGTCAGAATCCTCGGGGCCTCTGGTAAAACATCAAATGTATTAATTCACTTAGATTATGTGAACTAGGTATGAGAAACGTGAGTGACCCTTCTACACAGAGGAGAAGTGTGCTAACTCAGAAGCCCAGAAGAAAGCCGCTGTGCAGGAATAGCCCTCCCACGCCATCACATGTTGACAGTTTCTTCCTAGCAGCAAGGGATGGGGAGGGAGCAGCATTGAAAGTTTTCTGCCTCTTTCAAGTTCACTTCAAAACCTCTAGTAATGATAGACCTCCAGGTGATTAGTGCTGTTATTCCCCCTGGTCTGGTGATTGTAATGGTGTTAGTGATGATGGGAATGAGAAATGGATGCTGAGGTTAGAGTTCGTTGGGGGATGGTGGGTTCCAGCTTCTGGGCTGGGAGGGCCCCTCCTCCAGTCTTCAGTTTTTCAGTGGGCTGATTCAGGCTGTTAGAAACAAGAGTCAGCCACAGAGGCCTAAGGCCTCCACACCTTCGTTCTCAACCAGGAAGGCCCTAAGCACACCCCGCAACAAGATCAACACACAGGAAGTGACCAGGTGCTGGCCATCTCCCGGGCTGCTAGGTTACCTGAAAGGTCTCAAAATCAGGGTGCTAGGTTCCAAGTGAAATCGTGCTGTCCAAGCGTCTCTGAAGAGCTTGGTTCCTCCTGTCCCTTCTCACTCTGCCCTCACTTCCTTCTGCATCCCTCTGATGCCATCCCCCACCCCCCAGCCTCCCCCCCTGCCCTGCCCACTCCTCGGTTTCCCAAGAAGATCAAGGCTTGCCTTTTCTCTCCACAACTTGGCATCGCCGCATGACTCCTCCTCTGCATTGGCAGGCAGATTCTTAACCACTGTGCCACCAGGGAAGCCCAATAAGCGGGTGGGGGGGGGGCGTTAAGTAAAAATTAATACAATGAACTTTCTCATCAGCTGAAAGATGGGGGAAGAGAGAAGACAAGGAAAAAAATGTGTTGAGACCATTTGGCTAGATCTTAGGAGATTTTGCTAGCATATGACATGCAGTACATATTGGGAGGCAGATAAAATCATGTCCATGCCTGACTGAGAAACTGCAAAACTTTCATAAGCTCAGTCCTGACACAGGAGAGGTTCTTGCCCCAGGCTTATCCAGGGACCTTGTGGACTCTGGTCAGAATCCTCGGGGCCTCTGGTAAAACATCAAATGTATTAATTCACTTAGATTATGTGAACTAGGTATGAGAAACGTGAGTGACCCTTCTACACAGAGGAGAAGTGTGCTAACTCAGAAGCCCAGAAGAAAGCCGCTGTGCAGGAATAGCCCTCCCACGCCATCACATGTTGACAGTTTCTTCCTAGCAGCAAGGGATGGGGAGGGAGCAGCATTGAAAGTTTTCTGCCTCTTTCAAGTTCACTTCAAAACCTCTAGTAATGATAGACCTCCAGGTGATTAGTGCTGTTATTCCCCCTGGTCTGGTGATTGTAATGGTGTTAGTGATGATGGGAATGAGAAATGGATGCTGAGGTTAGAGTTCGTTGGGGGATGGTGGGTTCCAGCTTCTGGGCTGGGAGGGCCCCTCCTCCAGTCTTCAGTTTTTCAGTGGGCTGATTCAGGCTGTTAGAAACAAGAGTCAGCCACAGAGGCCTAAGGCCTCCACACCTTCGTTCTCAACCAGGAAGGCCCTAAGCACACCCCGCAACAAGATCAACACACAGGAAGTGACCAGGTGCTGGCCATCTCCCGGGCTGCTAGGTTACCTGAAAGGTCTCAAAATCAGGGTGCTAGGTTCCAAGTGAAATCGTGCTGTCCAAGCGTCTCTGAAGAGCTTGGTTCCTCCTGTCCCTTCTCACTCTGCCCTCACTTCCTTCTGCATCCCTCTGATGCCATCCCCCACCCCCCAGCCTCCCCCCCTGCCCTGCCCACTCCTCGGTTTCCCAAGAAGATCAAGGCTTGCCTTTTCTCTCCACAACTTGGCATCGCCGCATGACTCCTTCTCTCCCCCTTTTCCCTCCCATCTTTCCTCCAGACCAAAACTCCCCCTACCCGCAAACTCCTTGTCCCTCCGCCACCTCCTGTGGAGCTTGGTGTTCCCTCTGTCCTCCTCTCTGCCAGCAAAAGTGCTCAGGCTTCTGCTTGTCTGAAGCCTCCCCTCAGCCCTGCCTCCCAGCTGCAGGATACTGTGATTTTTTTTTCTTCTGTCAAACCTCTAACTCCTATGACGGTTCACCTGCTTTGCTCTCTCACCGTGAATTCTCCTTCCTCCTCACCCTGGGTGGTCCACCTCCCAGAATTCTCTCCCAAATTCTCCCAAATACAGCACGGGCTGTATTTTGGGGTATTTTTCTGCTCACTGGACAGTGTCTCATCTCCGTGTTCCCAGATTGCAGGAACAGCGTGGGCAGCAGTGACTATTTGATGGATGCGCATGTGGATAACCTCCCAGAGAGCTTCTCGCTCTGAGATGCTGATCCTGCTGTGTGCATCTTGCCTCTCCACTCCTACAGCTGGCCACATAAGGACTGGCCAGGCCTGCTTCTCCACACTCAGGCTCCACTGAACAGGATCTGTCAGACCCCGCACAGCAGCTACCCAGTGTGCAGGCTGGAGTGGGGAGGAGATGCTGGAACATGGAGGATGGCTTCTGGCGGATCCACAGCCAAGAGAGATGGACAGAAAGCCATTTAGCACTGCAGCCTAGTGCACTTTGGGACTCTCAACAGCCCTGTTGTATTCCAGGTTCTCCAAGCCAGCACCCATGTTCCTGGATGACTCCTTCCGCAAGTGGGCTAGGATCCGGGAATTTGTGCCACCTTTTGGGATCAAAGGTCAAGGTATGTTGGGAACCCTGCCCCACTTTACATTAACATCTCATCCCCCAAGCTATCTCCCTAGTGTCAGGACAGGGCTGTACCCTCAGAAGTGTCCCTGCTGGGAATCCACCCCTCTCAACAATGCCCTACCTTCTCTCCCTCTTTCCTGTCCTTCCTTTTTTCTTACTTCTTTAGTGGAATGTTTACTCAGAAACCACCACTTTGCCAGGGGCTAGGTACACAACAGTGCAGTAGACAGATATGGTTCCTCTCCTCAAAAAGTTCCAGTCTAATGCAGACACAGGTACTTGGAGTGCAGTAAGGACTCTGATGAGGGAAGAACACTGTGCTGTGAGATCACACAAAACGGGTGCCAGAGACAACAGTGCTGGAGGGCTAGATATGAGGGGGGAAATCCCAGAGAAAATAGAGGCCATCCGGACGACTGCCCCCAGGGCCCTCCATCATCCCCTCCTGATTTTTTTCACCTTGACCTAGCCTCCCCTCCAGTCCTTTTTTATCCTGTCCAAGGCTAACCTTTCCCCCTATACTCTCCGAACTGCCCCCTTCTATTGCCTCAAGGACCTCACCCATGCAGTTCCTGACATAAGACTTTCCCATCCCTGAGAGTTTAACAGTTCTCTTTCCGTGTCAAGTTACTGCCCTATTTCATGGCATGGTAGAGTTTCAGCTTTAGCGTCAGACATAGAAGGATCCGGTCCCAGTACCACCTCTTTATTAGCTGTGACCATGGACAAGTTACTAACATGTTTTGCTTTAGTTTCTTCGTCAGTTAAATGGAGAGAATAATACCACTGTATTAGGTTGTGGTCAGAATTAAATAAGATAACTGTTAAAGGGGTGATATCATTTGGCCAGCAGACTCAGGAACGCCTGAACCCTCTACTTAGCTGGCCCACCCCTCCCTGAAAAAAAGACAGTGGCCAGCCAAAGGATACTCTTGAACTGGAGCTTTGACCTTCAACCTCCAAGGACAAATCTCATGGGTTGCGTTGAACCACATGAAGAACTCCTTTTTCATGGGTGCAGGTAGCCAAGCAGCCTAACTTTTCTCCTAAATCCTCACTCAAGATTCTGATCCTGCTAAGCTATGAAGGGCAGCAAAGCCCGATACAGAGCCCATCATCCAGCAAGAAAAAGCACCCCATAGTTTATGACCATTCTGCTAAGGTTCCCCTCCTAGAAAACAAAAACCCAATCCATACGCTTGGCCTTGGCCAGTTAGCAGCAGTATGCTTTTGCTTAGAGGTGAAATTGGAGGTGGGAAAAGGAAGGGATCTGTGACCTTCCCCGAGGCCCACCATAAAGTGTATCTGAAGGCACTTAGTACAGAACATTTCCTTAAAGGTTTGTCTCCTTACGCTTTCTCATTCAACTTCTAGAAAGATTGCCTGTGCCAACTGTCTCCTCTTACTCACCATTTACTCTTGAAGACTATCTTCTCCCCTCACCACTTCAGTGAAACTGCTCAGTGCCCCCAGGAGATCCAAAGGATACTTTTCAGTCCTTAACTTGACATCTTGGCTGCATCTGACAGTGTCGTCCAGTCCATCTTTTAAAAAAAATTATGAGGTTGCTGTGTTTAATTTCAGAGGCATCCTTTCTTTACATGAAGTATTTCAGGCATATAAAAAAGCATAAAAAATAATATAATGAGCACCCACGTACTCTTGTACCCAGCTTCAGAAATAAAACTTGAGATACGACTCAAGCTCTGTGTAGCCCGTCCCCCTCCGTTCCCCGCCTTCTCCAGGAAACCAGTATCCTGGTTGTCATTCCATGCCTGTTTATATATTTCTACAGCATATTTATATATCTGTTTAAAATACGGCATGGATGGGCTTCCCTGGTGGCGCAGTGGTTGAGAGTCCGCCTGCCGATGCAGGGGACACGGGTTCGTGCCCCGGTCCAAAAAATATATATATATATGGCATGGTTTTTTTTTTTTGCGGTACGCGGGCCTCTCACTGTTGTGGCCTCTCCCGTTGCGGAGTGGCATGGTTTTTGCACTTTACAAACAGTACTGTATATCGTACTTGTGTGTGTGTATTTTTCAAATTGATTTTTTTGCTTAACGCTTTTCAGATGTATCTGTATTGGTACACATAACTCTAGGTCACTGATTTTGCAGCTGCTGTGTAGTATTTCATGTACCACATTTAATCTATTTTCCTTCAGTGGACTTTTTTTTTTGTGGTACGAGGACCTCTCACTGTTGTGGCCTCTCCCGCTGCGGAGCACAGGCTCCGGACGCGCAGGCTCAGTGGCCATGGCTCAGGGGCCCAGCCGCTCCGCGGCATGTGGGACCTTCCCGGACCGGGGCACGAACCCATGTTCCCTGCATCGGCAGGCGGACTCTCAACCACTGCGCCACCAGGGAAGCCCTCCTTCGGTGGACTTTTAGGTTGCCTCCAACATTTCGCTATTACCAACAGTTCTGCAATGAACATTCTTGTACAAGTCTCCTTAAACAAATGTGTGAGTTTTCTGATGCTCTCCGCCTAGGAGTAGAGTTGCAAGATGTTAGTCTATGCACAGCTACATCTTTACTTGATATTAAGATGCTTTTCACTGTGATTGTACCGACTTACTTATCTTTAGGTCTTTATGTACATTACCTTTTTTATCTTCCTAACAATTCTGCACAGCAGAAATTACCATCTTCATTTGGAAGATGAGGAAACTAAGGTCACAGAGCTCATAAGCAGCAGAGCCAGGATTTGAGTCTGAGGCTGATATCATTATCTGTTGTATTATAATGCTCTCATCATACCAGAGTTTGAAAGGAGAGCAGTCATCATTGCCAAAACCAGAGAGAGGTCAAGAAGAATGAGGTCTGAATATGGTCACAGGATCTGAGAGCACAGAGGTCACGGGGCCCTTGCTGAGGGGCAGCCTGAGCGGAGTGCAGGTGGGCAGATGCCAGGCCACAGGGCTTGAAGAGGTAAGGAGGTAGAGACAGCCTGGCAAGAACAGGATTAGAGGTCAGCAGTGTTAGAGGGAGGAAGGGAGGGGAAGATGGTATCAGAAAATGAGGCAGAGTGGCCTGACCCGGGGAGCTGGCTGGGAGCACTCTAGCTCTTCACCACTGGTTGGCTCCTTGTTTGCTTCCTGGTGTCTGCTTGATGGGGGCACAGAAGTGAGCATGTGGTCTCTGCCTCTGACCGGCATTGCCATTCTGGGGGCCACTGAGTTGCCCCAGCTCCCAGGCAAGGCCCACGCCTGGGGGCGCATGTCCCAGGGCCTGATGGCAGAGCCTCCGACAGCCAGCCGAGACTCTCAAGGAAGGGCCAGGGAAGCCTGAGGAAGGAGCTGTGCGCGGGTGCCGGGGGCTGGCTCCAGGCAGAGATGTGTGTGCCGCCTCTTCTCCTGCCTCCATCTCCTATCTCAGAGAGAAAGTTAGGCCAGTGGCCCAGCCTTGTGTCCGGAGCTCCCTCCCTAACCTTCACGTCCACCCTAGCCCCAGGACCGTGTGCCTTCAAATCGGCTCATGGGCAAACATCTCATGGGAACCCTTAAGTGACCCTCTAACAGTTGCCTCCCTCCTCTGTCCACAGATAATCTGATAAAAGCCATCTTGTCCGTCACCAAAGAGTACCGCCTGACCCCTGCCTTGGACAGGTGAGCCACTCGCTGCCCAGTATCCTGCTCCTCGGCTGCCCAGAGGGGCTGAGGCCCAGCTGGCCTTCCCTGGACCTGGGCAGATTCTTCAGCATACCCACACACCCACACACACATACACACTGGGGTGGGTGAGCAGGGAAGCGGGGCCACCGCACTGGACTGGCCGCCCCCGTGGGCTATAAGCAGTTGGCAAGACATCTCAGTCCTCAGGCAGCAGAGATCCGAGGGTGAGAACTGAACGTCCTGGGCTGGGATCAGCTCAGCACTGGGACTGAGTGGCTGGGTGCTGGGGCAGCTGAAGGGGCTTAAATCCAGGAGGCAGTGACAGCTCTGAAGCCAACAGACCCTAGGTGGGGGAAGCCCCAGGGTTAGAGGTGCGAGAAGCAAAGTGAGTAGGGTTCTCAGGTGGCTACTGGGTGCATGGGGGCTTCTGAGTTATAAATAAGTCCAGCCTTGAGTCCTGGAGCCTCCAGGCTCATTCCTCTGTTCTTGCTTCTCTAGAGTAGCCCTCAAGCTCAGCCCACTTTTCCCTCTCCTCTGAAGGCGGCCCAAACCCACTAACCCTTGGGGAGTCTTTAACCCAGAATTCCATCTTACCAGAGCTCCTTCCCCACCACCCCAGAGCTAGTGCCCAAGCCCCTTCCACACCCATGTTTCCCTGGAGAAGTGTCAGGGACCAGGGGTATCTGAGAGCCCTGAGTGGCCCAGCTCTCCGCAGTGTGGTTCCGGCCTCTCAGAAATGCTGCCAGAACCTCACTGGTCTGCCTCCTCTGTCCCAGCCCGTGCCTGGTCAAGGGCATGGGGTCAGGGGCCAAAGGGGCAGGGGGAGAGGAGACCTGGTGGACAGCTCTCCAGAGGTCTCTGCGTCTGTCCCCTCAGCCTCAGCTGCCGCCGCTGCATCATCGTGGGCAATGGAGGTGTCCTTGCCAACAAGTCTCTGGGGTCACGAATTGATGACTATGACATTGTGGTCAGGTGAGCTCCTCAAAGCAGTGCCTCAGGCACCTTCATGTCCTGGTCCCTGAGCCCCCTGAGAACTGTCTGTCCATCTGGCCCATTGGGCTGGAGGTCAGTAGAAGCCTCAAGAAGAACCCTGGGTTGGAGGGCTCTGGAATGGAAAGCCAGGTGGCACCAGGTGGCCTGGGCTCCCTATCCTCTGCATCTGGGGTATTCTGGGGCCATGGTGCCTCCCCACACACAGGCCTACAGACCACATGCAGTGAGCCCAAGGCACTCTCTGACTGGGCCCACTCTCTGCAGACTGAACTCTGCACCAGTGAAAGGCTTTGAGAAGGACGTGGGCAGCAAAACTACACTGCGCATCACCTACCCTGAGGGTGCCATGCAGCGGCCTGAGCACTATGAACGTGACTCTCTCTTTGTCCTCGCTGGCTTCAAGTGGCAGGACTTCAAGTGGTTGAAGTATATCGTCTACAAGGAGAGAGTGGTGAGCTCCCTGTGCCCCAGCTCCTTCCCCTCTCGCCCTGGCCCTGCCCAGCCTCCCAGTCGGCCCCCTTTCCCTGAACCAGGCAAAGAACAAGTAGGAACCTTGCAAAAGAAGCATCAAGGACCCAGATGCAACCAAGGGGCAGAGAGGCCAGGAGATGCCAAGGCCACTGGCCCAGACTCCTGGAGCTGATGTGCCTGCTCTCTGCTACCTGCCTCCAGAGACCCAGGCTGCAGGTCCTTCCTCAGCCTTCTCTAGCCAGACCCCAGGTGCCTCCTCAGCAGACCCTGTGGGCCCTTCCCTGGCCTTAGCCCCCCGGTGTGGAAAGCTGTCACCCGGCTAGACCCAGCTTTACTGCTGATCTTCACAACCCCCGCCCTCACTTTCTACTTGCCCCCCAAGTCCCTCTTACCCTCTGTGGTCGTGTGGGTCCCCCCTCATTCCCAGCCAGGGAAAGAAGGCCTTATTTGGACCCTGGGGCCATTCCACAGGGATAGCAGACCCCTCCACTTGAGGGTGCCAGTTCCCAAACTTGCAAGTCCTGACCTCTCTCCACTTTGTGCTCTTACCACTGACTTGTGGTTGTGTCCCCAGCCTGCCATTGAGTCTGGTTCCACTGTGGGAATGGCCAGATTCTGTACTTATTGGTCTAGGCAGACAAGGATCTGGGCCCGTTTCTTAAGAGAGCTTATATGGCCAAGTAGGGTCAGACTACTCCTTACTGGACCACCCAGTGAGTCCCCTCCTGAGTCCTCTGTCTCTCAGCTCTGGGCCAACTTGTCCAGGCTCATTCCCCCTCTCCCCTCAACCAGCTGTCACCAGCCACCCCAGGGGAGGGGCACTGCAGAGTTCAGGCCATTCATCTTCCAACACCCAAGCCTCTTACCAGAGGAGAATGATGACAGACAGCGCTCCGCCTACAGTGAGCAGCTAGTTGTTCTTCCTGGAGGTTTAGAGGAGAGCTGGGGGGCTGGAACAGCTTCTCCTGCCTATGGACGTCTCAGTGCAATTTGGTTTAACTCCACAGCCTTTTCCCAAGCAAGGCCAAGTGCAGGCAGTGTCAAGTAGGTAGCAAGCGAGAGCGAAGACAGAAGTCAGGTCCAGAAATTCAGGTAGGTGGGACAGTGGGGAAAGGGGAGCCCATCTCAGAGCCAGGCTGAATGTGGCAGCCAGGGTCCCTAGAGGGGAGGAAAGGGTTTGACCTTAGCCAGCCCCAGCGGCGAGCAAGCCAAGCTGCCCACGCACAGTAGGTGGCGTGTGGGGGCTGAGGGAGCACCCCTCCGTTTTCAGAGCCCTAGGACCTGAGCATCTAGTTGTCCTCAGAGCCCTTCTCTTTGTCTTGAAGGCAAGGGAATTGGGATCACAGGTAGGCACCTTTAAGGGAGAAATGGGAGGAAATTGGGTCTGCCCTGGGGAACCCCAGAGAGCCTGTGGGCTGCTTCCTCACCCTGCCTTCTGCCCATCTTCCCACCCGCTCCTGGCATATCCTTTCCTCTGCTCATCGACACCTGTCAAAGGAGCTTCTGGAAGGCAGGGCCCTGATCCCCTTTGCTTTTCTTACCCCTCAATGCCCAGCCACCACAAATGATCTGGAATTGGCTCAAACACCAGATCCTGCTTCTTGCTGGGCACACTGGGATAGGACAGGCGACCCATATCAGGAGGCCAGGCCAAAGGGTGGGTCAGGGCCAGCCAGGTGGGTGTTGTCACATGATCCTTCCAAGAACACCAAAGACAGTTAATTCAAGACTCTTACAAGTCATCCAAGGGAGTCTGGAAAGAAGGAAGAAAAGGAAGGAAGCCAACTAGAGTTGGAAGACTCAGTATACTCAGGCCACTCAGGGAGCAGACAGCAGGGCCTCACTTCTCCCCCGAAAGACTCAGGAGCTTACTGCCTGGCCTGGCCTTGGTGGCAGGCCTGTTCAAGGAACTAACTGGGGCAGCTGGGATGAAGAGGTGTGGGCCGTGCTCAGGCACATGCTCATTGTGCCGATGTCTGTGTCCTGTTGCGGCCATGCCCAGGGATCTAGGACCAGCCCCGTGGTCCTTGGTGAGGACTCCTTCCCAGGGTTGGGAGATGTGAGTGGAAAGGGGAGAGAGGAGCTGGGAAGGAGTCCTCTGAAGTTCTTGAGGCTTCCTTGGCTCCAAAGTCAAAGATAATTGGGGCCTTTAGAGTGAGCAGCCAGAGGAAAACCAGTGATGCCCACGGCCTCGCCCGAGTGGGCCCGCCCAAGCCCTTCTGGTTACCCTGGAAGCCTCTTTAGTGCCCTCCTCCACCCCAAGCCCAGGGCTAATGCCTTCGCAGGACCTCTCTCATGCCCTGCTTCACTTCTCTGGCGTCGGAGACCCAGGTGAATGTGGGAGAGGCTGCGTCTCCAGGCCCCCTCCTGTCTGGTGCCCAGCTGCAGGCTTGCCCTGCTCCTGCAGTTATGTTTCTAACCATGCAGCCCCTGGGCTACTGGAGAGCTCTCTGCACCTGTCTGGAGCCTCACCTGCAGAATTCTGGCAGGAGGCAGCTCTGTGTTTGGGAGCCAAGGCCTAGCTGGGCAGGGCTGGGACAGATATTAGGCCTCAGTCAGGGCCGCTGCCTGCCGCTCGCTGTGTGAGCAGTCGCTCACTGCCTGTGTAACTTCCTGATTCCCAGGAGTCCTGACAGGGTATGAGAAGGGGAAAGATATAGGAAAGGAAGACCAAACAGCCCAAAAACAGCCTGTGCTAGAGCTGACCATGCTTTCTTCATCCACATGGGAGCTGTCCTCGTCACCATTTGTGGCTGTTTGATTTCCTGATTCGCTGGGCAGTAGCACAGCTAACTCTAAACAAGTTACCTTTAAAGGCCCTTTATCTCTCAGATCCCAGGAGGCCAAGCCATCAAGCAGGTGGAGGAGTTCCCAGCAGGCCTCGGGGCAGCTCAGAGGAGCACCAGCGGACTGTTGAGTGGGGAAGCTGAGGTCAGGGGGAGGGGAGGAGCTGGGGACACGGAGATGCAGGTATATGTGGGCCATGGAGGGAGGGGCGGCCTCCAGCTCTTGTGAAGTTCTTCTCAGAGGCACATCTGGCTCCACCCCTCCACGCGCTTACTCATTTGCCAGGCATCGGCAGGTGTTCTCTGTGCTGTCACTGTGCTGCCCCCTGGAAACAGAAAGTCACTCAGTCTAATGGGAGAGACACTCCCCGAACTAGTTATAATGCAGTGTAGTAGGTGCTGTGCCCTCAGCATCCTCCTCCTGGCGTTTGATGAAGGCTGGAGACGCCCTGTCTGTGGTCCTGAGGACGGAGCCCTGGGACCTGGAGAGGACGGGACATGTGAGAGGCAGAGCTTCTCGTGCTGTGTCCGCTGCCTCTGCCAGACTCCCCCACCGTGCCCCAGGATGCTGCTGACCCAGCACTTCAGAGCCCCGGGGAGCTGCCTTCCCAATCGTCTTCGTCCTCACTTGGGAAACCGGAAAGCTGGCCTCACTGCTGAGCGGCCCCTGGGCCTGAGGCCTGGGCTGGGTTGGTGGGTATGGTTCCAACCCAGCAGGCGGGGAGGAGGGGGCAAGGGCTAGGGGTTTGGCCCCTGGACAGCCTTGACCCAGGCCCGACCTTGCAGCTTTTGTTCACTCCTTGGGGAAGGTGGAGGGATCTAAGAGGCCGGCCAGGGCCCCACTTCACGCCCAGGGGGACTGGGCCCTTGAATCTGAGAGACAACGGCGGTTGAAGAGGAGAAAGCAGCTTAGGCCTTGGAGTCATACAGACTCCGGTTTAAATTTAGACCCTGTCACCTGTTAGCTGGGTTCTTAGACAAATCACCTAGGCCCCTTAGACTTCATAAAACAGGAGTAGTACTACCCATGTTTCAGGGTTGGTTTCAAAGTTAAACAAGAGGAAGTATAGAAGCGCCTAGCATAGTGCTTGACACTTAGTAAGTTCTGTCTGTGGCAATTATCAATATTATTTTATTATTATTATTGGTGGTGGTGCTATTAGAAAAGCCCAGTTGCACTAGGCAGTGAAGTCTTTGTCTAGACTGTAGGGCCTGACCTAGGAAGTGACCTAAAAGCGGGAGTCAGAGGCCAGGCCTAGAGGAAGGAGAGACATGGACCTCCTGGTGAAAGGCCGCAGGGGTGGGCTAGCAATCTAGCACAAGGCAAATGGCCACCAGGTCCCCGCATGTGAGGCCTTATTGGACCAGGCCTGAGACAGGGACTGAACGTCCATCTGCACCTAAACCTGTGCTCTGTCCAGGCCTGAGAGGGATGCAGAGCCTTAGGATGGGCTCTGCCTAGCAGGAGCTCTGTGTGCACACAACCTTGCCTCTGGGGAGACTCCGTGCAGGGCACCTGGAAAGCGTGGCGAGGCTGGCAGACACCGTTGCCTCCTACTGCTTGACAAGGCCTCTGCTGAGCCAGCTTGATGCTGCGCGCCCCACAGTCTCCTTTCCAGACCTCTGAGACAAGCTCTCCTGGATACCTTTTCCTTTGCAGCCATGGCCAGTGGACACAGCTCTTTCTCACAGATCCATTATCCCCCTGTGAGGGCCAGGAAGACTCCCTGCACATTCTCCCTCCTGCATCCTGCCCATCGCTCCTCCCCCACCATGAAAGATGCTCAGGGACCGGGGCTTACGTCATCATCCCCTGTGCTGCTCTTCATCGCTGTCATCCAGAGCCTCTTGCTTACTTACCTCACGATCCCTGTTATTATTCCTCCTCCTTTTCCTCCTCTTCCTCCTTCCACCATCCTCATCACAGGCGTCATTTATTAAGATCTTCAGTTTTTGCCAGCTTTCTTTGAATTCCTTTGTTCAGTTTTCACCATGACCCTGTTAGATAGATACTATTATGATCCCCATCTTGGCGTTTAGGAAACTGAGGCACAGAGAGGATGAGTTACTTGCTAAGATCACACAAGTAGTTCAGTGGTAGAGGTGAACTCAGACCCAGCTCTGGATGCCATCTCCTCCCACCTTCTCAGGAACTGTCTTTTTTCACTGATCTCTTTTCTTACCTCTTTACTGG